GATAACATACAGGTTGATGAATACAGGTGTCTCAGGACAATAATCCGTGGCATCAGCCCCGGATCTAGGGGGGAGGGAGGACAAACCGGTCCACTCACCCCGGGCGGCAGTTTCAGGGGGCGCCAAATTTATAATATAATATGGTTGAAAAAGAACTTGCATCACAAAGTGCCTAGTATCCACCACACGGTCTATCAATTAATCACTTGATTTTAAAATGGCCAGTTGGTTTTTGAACACATCCTAAGGGTTCATTCGGCATTCACTCTGCCAGCAGCAGCTGCAGCGCAGTTGGTAACATCTAATAAAAAAAAACTAAATAATAAATGAATAATGAATTTCAGATATTACATTCTGGCAAAACTGTGATTCCCTATTAATCATTTTCATCTTCATCTAGCCCTACGATAAAAATCTTGGGATCGGTTAATAACCACTAGATTTTATGTCAACCGGAAATGTAAATCTAATAGCGGGAATTTTGATTTAAAAGATTTATTAATTCTATAAATAATTAACGTTAAAAAATTATTTAAAAATATTTTTTTGAAAAACTTGTTATCCTTAGTTCATCATAAAATTAATAAATTATTTAAGAATATACTTCATATTATTACCTACGATACTCTGCAAGCTGTGAGTGAAGCTTCAGCAAACTGCAAATAACTAAAACCTAGCAAATAGGTTCTTTCGCAGAAAATCAATCACGCCGTGTAAAGCTGTAGCAAGATTAGAGAGAAAAACTGCTGAGACCTAAAGTTCCTACATGTCTAGATGGTCTGTTGTCATTCCTGGTTATATGCTTTCTATATATAATTTTACGTCACACAAATGAAAAAGTTATTGGGTAATAAAGAGTGCAAGTTTTTTTTTTAAACAATTTATCTCAAACGCTGGAGAGAGGAGGCGCCACTACCAACTTTTAGTCCCGGTTCAAAAAAATCGTAGAGCTGCATGGCATTCCTTAGGGGAGATCAATGTGCAGTCGTGAACTGAATTTATTAAATAATGCCTGTACTATGCGTTACAATTTCGAAATTTTAAACTCAAATCTTGTGAGATTTTATCACAAGAAAGTAAAGTTACTTAAGTTTTTCTTATGAAAAATATGATGATGTCCTTCTCTAGTCGACTTCGGCCAAGACGACAAGTTCCAAATAGTTGAAATCTATCCATTGCGTTGGGGAACACAAAATCACTCACTCTTACCGTAGCCGAAGGGACACTTGCGGCAATATCAAAGTTGCAGTGTAAAAGACTGGAGAAAGTGACGGCTCGAGCAGAATCCGAAAACAGGCTTAGTTTTCCGTTATTGTTGACTGTAATTATTGACTAAGCTGAACGGAGAACCTGCAGTCACTCTGATCAGTGATCACTAGCCTACGCAGTCGTTTATCATATTTATTCCTATAATTTTAATATAATAAAGATGACAAACGAGCGCACAGTCCAATTCATGGGAAGTGGATGGCCTAAAATAAGTCTATCCTCGATTAGGAATTAAAATTTAGATGCGTGGTCACATCTAAAGACTAGATAGAATGCCTCGTTACCCGTTAAAAGGGCCACCGATTCTCCTCTCACTATAAGAAATAGCATCATCAAACTGCTACTTTACGCTGGTATTCTGTAAGAGCCGTTCCCCGGTAGAGTGTCAGATATTGGTGCGGCAACCATAATTAAGATACAGCGTGGCCCAACCCCAAGGAATGCCACAGAGGCCTATGTTCAGCAGTGGAGTTGTGAAGGGCTGTAATGATGATGATGATGATGTGGCTCTACCACGTTAAAAAGCAGTATCCATATAAGCACAGAATATATAGCATTTTACGTATTACGAAGTTAACATATCCCAAGTTTGTCACATGTGACAGACGATCCTTAAATTATGTTCTGTGGCCACGTCAGATCATTCATTATAAGTCAATTTCATATTACGAGATGTAGTACCCGTTACTAATACTGCAGGCATTAATTTATCTGCCAACTAACGTACTACCCCCTGTGCTCGCTCTATATATACAGAAGAAAAGATTTTAGAGCGATGATTTTTATGATTTTAAAAGTTCACTCTCCTCGCAAGATTGCATTGTTCTTCTTCAAAATTCTTTTAGAATGGAAGCACCTCAAAGCACAGTAAAATGAATTTGATAAAGCCGTGTTTCTCGCCATGAGAAAATTTATGAAAGTAGATCCTCAACAGCGATCACTGAAGAAAATGTGGCTACTGTCAGGCCACTAATTGAAGAAAACCTGTGCATCACCTATGAGGAGATTTAAGGAAATTTGGGTATTGCTATAAGCCAAATAAAAAAAAATACATTAACATTTAAAAGCTAGAAAACTTTTCCTTAAACAAAAACGTAAAAAATCTTATTAAAGTATGATCACGGACATTCAAATCATACAATATGTATATATGTATCAAAATATAACAAAATTCCAGAAAATATACAAAATTTGACCTGCTCAAAATTCAAAACTCATTTAAACTAAGTTTGTATAAAAAGAGTTATTATAATATTAAGGTATTTATGGATGATAATCTATATTGAATAAAAAAAATCTGTTTCTGTTTCTGTAGCATTCCGGAAAGAAAGTAACAAACTTCTCTATGGGTAAAGAGACAGAAAACCAAAAAATTCGGACCGGTAAGAAACGTAGGCAAAAAATAATTGCTTTTTTCTTCCAAACGGGTCCTGTCTGCACAATTCCACTTAATTAGCAAAATACAATTAATGCTGACTGGTACACCACCATTTTTTGCCCAATGTCTGAAAAAGTTAGGGAAAAATGACTAAGAAGTCGCATCCTATTGCACCATGACAATACTACGGCGTACACCGCGAACGAGATATAAATTTTGGGTTTCTGAAAAGGTGGAGCTTGTCACATATCTCACAGTCCAGACCTTGCATCATGCGATTTATTTATTTTTACAAAAATCAAAGATTTAAGGATAGGTTTGACATTTACGGAGCCAGAAGAGGCCAACCAGGCTTTCAACTAGCGTGAAAAACATGTCCAGACCAATGGTCCGTTTATTTCAAAAATGGATTAAACAAGTGAAAAAGTTTTTAAAATGTAATGGAAAATTCTTTGAAAAGCAATATATATAGTAGTTTTTATATAAATTGTTGTATTTATGAGTTACGCAAAACTTTCAGTGAACGCCACGTGAAACCAATTTACAACTACAATTTTAATACAGTCAAGTCTGACAACATTACCAATGTTGACTTAAAGTCAAAAGTCTAAAGTCAAGTACTGGTACAAAATTAGGATTAACACGGAAAACGGAACGTTTTTCAAGATAGCATGTAAACTGGCAAGAAGTCCTATATGAATTTTTTGACACATACTTTTTTACGGCAAATTGCCGTCGGCATTTTTTCTTAAGAAATTAGTGTGACAAGATTTAATTAAAAAAAATTAAGTAAAGTACGTAATCAAGGATTTTTGACAACCCTGACACATATTTTCAAGATTGTATGAAAAATTGAAAAATGGGAGGGCAAATTTGCCACAAGCACACACTTTGCTATTTGCAACAGAATTAAAGGAGCAATGGTCCTAAACAAGTCCTTCCAAAAATTTCAAAGATGCCAGGTTTCACTGTAGCAGATTTAAACTCACAATACTATATGTAGAAATCAAACGAAATACAACATGATAATTTGTCTTTATTATATTATAATACATCAATAAAATACAATTTGTATAACTGTGATAATAAATTGTTAATGCTTCACAATTCATTGAATACCGTAACTATATTATTACAAAATAAAATGTCAACAAATAACTGCGTTACACTACACCTTTATCGTTACACTAATACTACCTATTATATAAACAGAACAGACCCAATAAGGGCGGGAAACAGATTTTTAGATTATTAGTGGTCGTAATGACGCATCTTAATGTTGGCAATATTGCACCTGAATTGGAAGACTTTAAATATCTACTTACAATTCGAAATGTTTTATCTAAATAATGTAGCTATCAGTATTGTATTTTTCTGTTTAGAAATATTGTTAAGTAATGTTTCCTGAATGATAAAGCTAATTTAAACTTAGACACGGTAATACTTTTGGGACGGAATGTTCAAAAAATATACAATGGTACTACTGATTTTTTTTTTCGTTATCCACTTATAACAAACTTGTTATCACTTATATTAAATAATATAATTGTGACATTTTACTTACATTAAGTAACTACGCATTAAATACTATAGTTTTGCTTTCACAACCGAAAAACAAAATAGATTTCCTTTACATAAAATTGACGGAATGTCATAAAGAATTTAAAATTATTTAAGGCACATTTTTCGTAAAAATTTATGATCTTTATAAATACATTATAATTCTGGCACTAATTTTAGTTTACACTTGAATAAAAAATCTCAAAAAAAAAAAACTAAAGCTAATCGTTACTTTATTAATAATGCCAAAGTATTGTACAAAAGTCTAGAAATAAGTACATAGTTCAAAAGATGACTACTAAGTATAACTTCAAATATTAAATATTGAAAGTAGCAACATTAAGCAACATAATTATCAGGTCATCTGTAAATGAAAGAGATATAGTTAAATTTTACATTTTACTTAAGTAGCCATTTTTTATTAAAAACCTTTTTCGGTAACAAAGTATATTAAGTAAATCAATAATCTTCTAGGTATATCAGTTTCATGATATTAACTCGGCAAAAGGACTAACGTGTCATAATTTTGTAAAATATACATAATGTATGTATTCTGATAAAACAAATTTATTTAATACTAATTGAAGAGACAGCCGCATTTAAAAACATACACAAATCGTAAAAAAGTTTCTTAGTTTGTTTTTTTGGGGAAGCCGAAATAAATGCAAAATTTAACTAACATTTGTCCAGTTCCAGAATACTTCGATACTTTCATTTTAAATATAGCTACGTGTTTGCTGCTTCCAATAATATACGCTCTAACCGTAAAACAAAGTTGAATTTGGAATGTTTTTTATATCATACCCCCACTAGGACTTCTGGAACTAGTCTTAATTATAGAAGTAACGGATATATTTCCAGAACTACCACTTAGACTTGGTGGCGGCGAACGAGGTAGTGAGAAGTTTTTTTCCGATAAATTTTCTTGACTAAATGATTTCACGGTTGCGAAAACGGGTATTTTTGACGAGACTCCCTGTGACACGGGTTTCGTTTTCTCTGACATTTTTACCGGTATATTGCTTGGTTTGGCCGAAATTGTCGGTTTCTGACTGACAACTGGCTGATCGTTATTCGCTCTTAGTTGCATTTGATCTAGTTGTGAAAGTCTACGGTTTTCCAGGTCCGTGCTAGTTACGATCGTCCCTTTTGGAGATTCATAAGTCGCTGTACGGAATTTAATATGACTGTTCCTTGGTAAATCAAAGTCTGCATGCCTTTTCTTTGGTTCGATTTTCGTTCGTTTCTTTATTTCGTTCAACTGTTTAGCTGTGTGATGCCTTTCGTTTAGAATAAAATCGTTAAGGAGTTCTATATCGAGTTCGTATGACAACATTGGTTCTCTGTAAACTGGTGATCTTTGTCTACTAGCTATTTTATCCTTATCTTTGCTCGTTTCATCTTTCTTTTGCTTCATCTTTTCTGTTCGAGGCGTAACAACTTGAATTTCTGTTATATGATCCTTCTCTATTCTTTCCTCTGCCAGATTTCCCTTTTCTGCCGTATTATCAGATTTAGCATATTTTTGTGTTATTGACATTAGAGTTGGATTAATTGAATATCTTGTTTTGGAAACTTCCACAGAATCTTGACTGATAGTTTGTTCATCTTCCATATCTCTGATTATTCTTATTCCCATCCGTGACAGTTCTTCTGGTGTTTTCTGCGCCATGAAACTAGGATCGTTCTGAAGTTTTTCCATTAATGCTTTTGCTTGTTCTTCATCTAATTCTGTGGTGTTTAGTATAATTGTCTCTGTTTTCGTATACGACGGTTCATCAGATGTGAAATGCATGTTAGGATTTTGTCGTTTAATTTCATCCAATATTCTTTTGTCGAAATCTTTAATTGCACCCTCTTCTAAGTTCAGTTCACTTATATCGCCAGAATTTTTCATAATTCCGAAACTCATTTGTTCGATCTGTAATGGCGCTTCTGTTCTAGTAGTTAGGTACTGGGTAGAAAACTTTTCTACGTTTTGTGTGATCACTTTATTTCCATATTCATCTTCGGTCATATTTACTGTAACTGTTTTCTGAATAGGCTCTTGTGTCATTGTGAGAGAAACGTTCCCTGGTTCCATATACAAAGTTCTGTTCTCTCTTTGGTCGTTTCTACTTTTAATGCCTTCTATCACATCCGGTACTATTCTCATTACTGGTTCCCCTATCTCTATAGACTTAGTGTAAGATTTTCTTTTTTCTTCTGAATACATATTTTTATTATTTGTTGATATTGTAACAACATTGCCACCATGTCCATCTTTGATTTCAGACCATTCCGTGGAGACTGATTCCTGTGGTTTCTTAGTCAAGCTATTGTTGTTTGATCCCACTCTTATATTACTAACAAATTCATCATATTCTCTGGCTTTTGGCTCTATAGTTTTTAAATCGAAATTGACAATGTCTGGCTGATGCATGGTAGATTTGTATGAATCTGTCATCGTTGGTAAATCTTTGCTAGTAGAAGAAGAAGCTTCATATTTCTGCGATGTTTGTTCAACATGTACGTTGAAAATGGGATTTTTAGCTAACAGTTTCTTCATCATATCAGACTTAGGTCTTTCTAAGCTGTTGACATATGTATTACGTGACATTTTTAAATCGTCTGGAATATTTGTATCTAAATTCATACTTATTTTCTCCTCATATTTTATTGGTGAAGTTTTATTTTCAGTACTCGTTTTAACTTCTTGGCTACTTTCTAAGGAACTCGCATTGCTCCCGTCTGATGTTGACTTCGCAAATTCAGATACAAGTTTGAAATGTACTTTCAAATTTTCATCCATTATTCGCCTCGCCAAATGATCCGACGTTTCATGGTCATCGCTTTCTTTTAACGTATCCATTTCTTTACTCTGTGATTTTTTAACTATCACGTCTTGAACTTCTTGTTTGTCGGATTCAATAGAACTACTTGATCCTTTCACTATCGCGTCTTCTAAGTTACCGAACTCTGATGCTTTTTTTAAGCGATTTCTCTGGAACGTGTTAAGACCTTCTATGGCAGATGTTTTAGCTATATTTAAGCTCAATCTTGGCTCCTTTTGTTTTAAGACAACACCCTTTTCTGGATCAATCATGTCTGGTAAGACATCTTCTGTGGTTGAATCAAAAAATGTTGTTTCAACGACGGACATAGCCTTTCGCTTTTTCGGTGACAAAGTACTTTCTTGAATTTCAGCATCATCTGCTGATATATCTAAGCTTTGTGCCCTTTCTAATGTGCCGGTGGATGGCTTATTTATCTTAGCTCTAAGTTCAAATCTAGACAAATCTCCCAAGGACGCTGCTTTACGTTCATTTTCATCTAATAAAGACACATCATCGGAGGCTGAATTACCCGTTTCATTTAACGGTGAACTATGTATAGTGATGTCACTATTATTAAGTTCTATTGTAGTTGAACCCTTTTCACTCTTATCGCTGTTATTTAACGATACGACGGAATGAACGTCCTGATTTGAAGAAAGATTGGATTTAGAATCTTCAAAGAAATTGTTTAATGAATCGCTTTCTCTCTTAAAAGGCTTCGATACTATATCGTCAATATCATCTTGACTAAAGTTTATAGATTCGTCGATTCGCGATGTTTTGGTTTTTATGACCTTTGGCGTAGAGGTATTGTGAGATATTGACATGGACGTAGATGACTTGTTAGGTGTCAAAGACATGTCATGTAACAAACTAGAATGTTGCTTTTCATTACTAAGAAAATCGCTTACTTTCTTTAATTGTTCTAAAATACTATCATCAGTTTTATTTTTTTCAGTATCGGGGGGAGATGGTGCTTTTCCTTTTGATTTCTTTATTGGTTTAGGTGCTTCTTCTTTTTTCAGCTCAACTTTATCCTGAACTAAATCTGCTGAACTTCTTCTGTTGCTTCTAGCAGCCTTGGCTGCTTCAAACATATGTGGTGGTAGCTCTTGGGGTATGCCATTCTCGTCTCTTTTTATTCCACTAGAATTAAGGTCGCTTCTTGCAAAACTCGACATAGAGGTTTCAGATGTTTTCGAAGTATCTACACTTGTGTTTAGGGAAGTTTCAGATTCATTCGTTTTGACACGTGCATTTGGTACAGGTGGCGCCATTTTTTCTCTTCTTTTAGCGACAACAGGTTTCTTAGTTTCTGTTTCCGTTTCATGTTTTATTTGTGTAGTAGGTGCTGGCCGTTGGAGGTCTGGTTTATCTGGTTCATCGATTGAAGTCTTTTCTAAAACAACCGTCCCATTTTCTGTACTCTTTTGTTTCAGAACACCATCATCAGGGACATTTGGTGGAAGAACTCTTATACCAAATTTCATTCCTCTTTTGGGATCGTAATCTCTTTTTTGGACTTCAGCTTGCTCGATTTGTGTTATCCCATTCTCTGGCTGTATAATTTGGATGTCGCTTCCGGTAGAATGTCTATTTTTGTTCCTCTCAGGTTTGCTTAAGCCAGGTGTTATATCAGAATGTCTAGTTTTACTGTTCATTTTAAGGTTCTTTTCGTTTTCTCTTTCTAATGTGGTAGGTGCCGCCCCATCTTTCTTCTCCTTCTTGTTTCTTTCAAGAGTTGTTGTTGATGTTATGATCTTTTCTGTTAATATTTTCTTGATTCCACCCTTTCCTTGTTTGGTTTCTAATGTAGAGTTATTGGAATTTGATGTGTTTGGCGATCTGGGTGGATGTAAAAGTCTCGCTTCTTTCTCGAGCTGAAAGAGAAGAAAAAAGAAAAATTAATTACAGTAATTATGTAGTATTAGTAAAAATACAAAACTATACAGTTTTTAAATATAAATTCCACTTCTATTCTTTTCGTCTATTCGCGTTATTATTATTATATTTCTCCTGCCTAAATGTTATTCAAAAGAAAAATAATTCTAGGATTTTGCAAGGATTATCCATGAACGTCAGACTGCATTTGTTTCAAAAAAATATTACCACGACACTAGAAAGTTCTCCTGTATTATCAGGGCGTTTTAAATACATAAAATGCATAATGATAAACATTTACTATACTAATGTTAAACACTCGCTGCCCGCGGTGCATTAAAATGGAGAAACAGGACGCCACCTGTTGCGCTCTTTGTCACACTTACGGGCCATACGGCAGATAGAGACACACCACTGCCGCGTCGATGTGTATATTATGAAAAAGTAAAGAATGCAAAATAAAAAGAAAACTATAGCTTATCTAACTTCGCTGCCTATTGAGGCGTCAAAACAGAAGTAAGTTCAGTAGTACGAAAACGCTAATAAAAAACACTACTGTGTAAATTCTGATAGTGCTTTTACAACTAATACTAAAACCTCTGTATACAGTGATATAATATAGTAGTATAGATATATAGTGGACGTAATTATGATAAGGAGGTCAGTGCTCTCTAAACCAGGTGGTAAGGTAATATTTTATTTTTGCATGTAAATCCAGTGGTAGCTAAGGAGCTACGCGCTCACCGAAGATTTCACGGTACGCAACTCAAATTCAAAATTGCAATTTAAAGTGCTAATTTCCATCGTTCTTGCCAGTGAAGGAAAGCATTGTGCGTAAACCTCCTTTGCTGATAAATTATATAAAATATTTCGAAGACATGTGCAGTCCGCCAACACGGCATTGGGGCAGCGCAGTGGACAATTTCTTGCCCTAAAATCCACTCAGAAGTGAAAGGAGGCCTGTGCCCAGCAGTGGCATTTATATAGGCAGAACTTATCAAGTTAACTTTCCCATTTGTCATCTCGTAAACCTTAACTTAATGCCGGACCCTATTATTTAACTACACTGTAGTCTTAGTGCCTGCCTAAAAATTACCCGACTGGAATTACTATCGTCAGCGTAAAATAGCAGCTTAACACTGCTGTGTTTCGTATGGTGAGTGTAGAGAACCGGAGACCCTTTTTACTTCAAACGATGCATTCCATCATAGTCCTCACGGGGGACAACGCATCTGCATTTTGATTCGCAAACGAAGGTAAATGTAGATGTCTATGGGTCACAGCAACCAATTACCATCAGGTGAACTGTGTGCTCGTTTGTCACCATATCCTATATAAAAAAATGATCTATCTGGTCTGGATTCGTTCTGGTTGCTTTTGTACCAGACTGTAGTGTGCGGCTAGGTTAAAAACAAGGTGGTCAGTTTGAACCTAAACTTTAATATGTGTTGTAGTCTTTGTCACAATGAGGGCATCCACGACTTTTTTGTCACCAGGGCGACGCCACTTAAAAATGAGGTGTAATATTTGACAGATTTCATAGCGGGGAAGTTAATTTGTTCGAAAAATGTTTCTTTCTTTGCTGTTAGTTATAATTTATATTAAATAGATTAAAAATAAATAAACCAAACCACAGATATTCACAAAAGGAAAAAATAAAATAAAAAAGAGTTAAAAATGTGCAAAAAATTAATGAGCAACCACTGAAGCATTGTTTTGTGTATTTTTTTATAGGATAAGGGTGACAAACGAGCACACAGTTCATCTGATGGTAAGTGGTTCCTGCGGCCCAAAGACATCTACATCTATCCTCTATTACAAATCAAAATGTAGATGCGTTGTCACCCGTGAGGACTAAGATGGAATGCCTCATTTCCAGTAAAAAGGGTCTCCGGCCACCTGCACTCACCAAGCGAAACGCAGAGGCAAACCTCTACTTCACGCTGGTTTTCTGTGAGGTCGTGGTACCACCCCGATTCGAGCCGGCTACCACTGTTAAAAAATATTAATTTTAAAATAAAGGTTCATTTTTGTTTCTGTACAGCAGTTATTCTATTTTTGTTCTATTAGTTATTATTGTTCTATTAGTTATATTTTATAATAATTAGATTAAAATGAAATAAACCAAACCACAGATATGAACATAAAAGTAGAAAATTTTAAAAAGAGTTAAAAATGTGCAGAAGTTAAAAAGCAAACCACTGAGGTATTGTTTTGTGAAACTTATAAACTTTTATTTAAAACTAACTTCTAAATTAAACGACATTATGTAACAAAGAGCTTCACCTCAGTATCAACTAGCGGCATCTGGAGGGTGAGCTATTAGTCCGAATTCAAAAGTTTCTATTTTATTATATCCGGACAAGGTTATAGGCAGTGGCGGCCTTAGGGGGTGGCGAACAGGGCAATCGCCCGGGGCCTCGCTCTTGCAGGGGCCTCGCGCAACAACCCAAGCAAATTTAAAAAAATATAAATTTGTTAACTATATTGTTTTATGAAATACTTTTGATTTTCTTCCTTAATTACTCATTAAGGTTATAACATAACGGTAAATTAAAATAAAGTTTGTTAACTAATTAATTAATTCAAAACATAATTGAAAAATTAATTATGTAGTACTTGAATATCGCGCCTCGAAACACTTGAAGATCGGTTTTTTAATCGCATAGCACTCGGGTCAGCTCGGGAGTCGGGACATAATGTTCTGTTCCTCTATCGCTCGGGGAATCCCCGTGTTTCATTTCGTTCGTCAACTCCTATCACCTTGGAATTAGTTTGATTGCAGTATACAAACAAAATAGTTATAAAATCGTTACTATACCGTACATATCTTTAAATTTTATTGAATATTACTTTCTTATAGTATTTAAATTATTGAGTGAGCTGGAAAAGTGTAAATTATAGTATTTGAAGTATTGAGTAAGTTGAAAAAGTGTAAAAAAACTGTGTGATACTTAAAAATATTTCTGACTGTTTGTGCGAAACAAAACAAGGTTTACGAAATGAGTTCGCGTGATCGTGATGTCGGTAGAAAATTTGAGTCAGGTAGTTCAAAAAGGAAACGAGCTGTCAAAAGAAAGCAGGTAAAAGAAAATCTACGTGGATATTTATATAAATATATAAAAAGAGATGGTCACGAAACCTCTACAAAACATTTATTGACTGAAATTGACTCTAATCCTGATCCAGCTGAAAACATTCCTTCCACATCATCATGGGTGCCGCCGCCGACAATAAGTAAAAACAGTGAGGATGATGATGAATTAACTACATCATTGTCTCTTAGGTCACCGGTGCCGCCGTCAACGCTATTCCGTCAAGAACACGAATCTGAGCCTGAGTCTATGTCTACATCCCTGATTGCTGAAATGGAAAATCTGAATCCTCAAAATGACCCCGGTTTTTGGCCTAAAACAATTACTGATGTAGATCAAACAGATTGTATTAAAAGGTCCAATCCGGGTTAAAGTTGATTTATTTCCCGTAAATGATAATGGACGGCGATTCAGCGAATATCATTATAATAAGATATTAGCTAACGGTGAAAAGCTTGACAGACGCTGGATGATTTATTCACAAACAAAGGATGCCGTTTACTGCTTTCCGTGTCGAATATTCGGGCTAGAAAATACAAAGATTGGAGCAAGTGAAGGAGTGTGTGATTCGAAACACTTGGGTGATTACCTAAAGTCTCACGAATCTAGTCGACAGCACAAAAATTGTATGTTGAAATGGATTAATCTAGAGAATGGTTTAAAAAGCTGTTCTACTATTGACTTCTTGGCCCAGTCACAAATTGAACAAGAAAGGCAACGTTGGAGAGATATTTTAGAACGATTGCTCGCAATTGTAAATTTTTTAGCATCTCACAATTTGGTATTCAGGGGCCATAGAGGGAAATTAACATCTGACTCAGATTCAAGTGAGACAAGCGGCAACTTTATAGATTTAGTAAAGTTAATAGCCCGATTTGATCCCGTGATGAGACTTCACCTAAATCAAGTAAAGGATAAGACGATTAATGACCACTATATAGGAAAAAATACTCAAAACGAGCTCATACAATTAATGGCAAGTCACGTGAAGACCCAAATTGTTGAAAAAATTATAAATAATAAATATTACTTGATTATTCTTGATTGTACTCGCGATGTTTCTCGTGTTGAGCAACTTTCAATTATTATAAGATTTTTTAATACAAATACAGCTGAAATTGAAGAACATTTTATTGGTTTCTTAGCTGTCGAAAAAACCACAGCTGAAAGTTTGACTAATTACATAATCACAGAATTAGAACAGTTAGGTATATCATTGCTAAACTGCAGAGGTCAAGGATATGATAATGGTGCCAATATGCGTGGTGAAAAAAGTGGTGTACAAAAACGTATTCTTGAAATTAATCCACTTGCTTATTTTTTACCTTGCGGGAGTCATAACTGGAATCTCATCCTAGGAGATGCAGCATCGTCTTGTGTCCAAGCGAAATCTTTTTTTGGTTTGCTACAAAGGTTGTACACTCTGTTTGCCGGCTCAAGTCAGAGGTGGGCTATTTTATATGCTCATGTAAAATCGTTATCGCTAAAACCACTTTCTGAAACTAGGTGGGAGTGCAGGGTAGCATCAGTGAAGGCCGTTAAATACCAACTAAGCGATATATGTGATGCTTTAAAGAATTTAGCAGAAAATACAACAGATTGTCAGTTGGTCAGTGAATGCCATTCTATAGAAAACGAAATAACTACCTACGAATTTGTAGTTTCACTAGTCATATGGTATGATATTCTAACAAAGATAAATGTTATAAGTAAAATGTGGCAAAACGAACACATGCACTTAGATGTGGCTATACAACACCTAGACGCATTCACAAATTGGCTCGATAATTATCGTGAAAATGGTTTTCAGTCATTCCTTGTAACAGCGAGAGAAATAGCCGAGGAAAGTGATATTGACAGACAGTTTAAAGAAGTCAGAAGAAGACGTAAAAAAAGGCATTTTG